AGATATACAAAATATATTTCTAAAATATTTTCAAATTATACTTTTCATTCTGAATGATTTCTCGTGAGATTCTATAGATGAGCTCTTAATTTTCGAAGAAAACATATTTTTATTATGAAAATTATTTATACATCTTCAGGAATATCTTTCTTTCTTCACTGAAACTGAAAAAAAAATGAAATACTTGGAGATAATACAGGAGATTAACGATTTGATCAATGTTTGTACAACAATGGCTCACTGTCATAATATTAGTGGTCTTATATATATGGACAACAATGAATATCTAGGAAAGCCAAAATGGATACTTATGCTTCACTTTTGTTCTTTCATTCCATATCTATCTATCTGTTCACGATTGGATGATATGTAGGAATTGAAAGGTTTTTCAACCAAAGACATTTACAAAGATTCCATATTTTACAATATAGTAGATCAGCAAAGCAAGATTATCAAGATTAGTTTAAAAAAACAACGAACAGCAAAAAATATTTCAACAAATGCCCAGTAGAAAATTTTGCATAAAAACTCAGCTAATATGATGGATTAGTTCAAAAATTAGGATTATTTGGTGAACCTTATACAGTCCATTTCTTGCACAACCGACTTTGATGGTGTGAATGAAAAGGTATAAAAGGTAATTATGGTGAAGTATACTGTATAACTGTCTGAAAATCGCAATACATGTCTCAAAAAAACATTGTTCTGGTATATGAAAAAACTGTTTTGTATAAAGGAGTCAAGTTCTCTTGACATTTCTTGGAGGCTTTCAATCTGTCTCAATTCAAGATATTACTATCTGTATATGTGCTTTGATTATCGAAAGTATTGTCTGGACATTTGAATCAGTAACAAGAAATGAACATCTGGTTTCATGCGTTTCATTAATAAATATTTATACTTTATAGTTATTTCACAGACGTGAGGAATGTCCAGGAAGTTCGTGCTTTACGCACAAGCAATGTAACAATTTAATTTCTCTTGATTTTGATTAATATCGCAGATAAAGACAAGATAAACATTATTTATATGTCCGCAGCGGTTACACGCTTTTCTTATAGATTCGCCAATTAATCATTGAAGATGATTAATTGTGAGAAACCTTGATATGGTTTTCTAGTTTTCAATGTTTTGAGATTTCCATCAGATCTCATATAAAATAAATCATACCTCAATCAGAACTACTAAATCTACTGAGTATATATCATTTTGTGAAATAACATACAAGTAAAAATAGAACAATAAATAAAAATGAAGAAATGAAAAAAGAAAATAAAAATGAAGAAATGAAAAAAGAAAATAAAAATGAAGAAATGAAACGTTATAGAACAGTGCT